CCAGCAGGGAAGCAAGCAAGCAAGCAAGCCAGGCAGGCAGGCAGGCAGGCCAAGCAAGCAAGCAAGCCGGCAAGCAAGCAAGCAAGCCAGGCAAGGAAGCAAGCAAACAACTGAGCAACCGAGCAAGGCAGCAAGCAAGCAAGCAAGCGAGCGAGCCAGCCAGCCAGCCAACCAGCAAGCAAGCAAGCAAGCCAGCCAGCCAGCCACCATAAGTAAAGTTTTGAGCTAATCGTAGATAAACCTTCGAGCATACCCGTCGGAAAAACTTTCAAGAAAAACAAAGCAACCCGGAACCAACCCTAAATAAAGTTCTAAACCAACCCCAACCCAAATCCAACCTTACTTATCCAAACCCTCAACGAACTTTAAACTGTAAACAAACTGGCACTAAACCTTAAATAAATCTCTAAACCAATCTTTGACCAACCCTAAAGAAAATTGAAAATAAAAACAACACCACAGCTTAGATCTGTTCTAATTCAACCATAAATACATGTTGAACCAACTCTAAAGAAAAACCTTGACCAACCTGAAATAGAAAGATAAACTAACCCTTAATATAGCACCAACAATTTTGAAATACAACCTGAAACCATCCTCAAATAAACTTTCATGAAACCTTGAACCAATCCTCTATAAACCACAAATCAACCCTAAATAGATCTCTAACCAGCCCCAAACCAATTCTAAACCGAACCGTAAACCAATTTAAAACATAAAGTGCACCGGCACTACATCGACCCTAAACCAACTTGAATTAGCCATTAAGCCAACTTTAACAAAACCCCCAACAATCTCAAATAAATTTCCGAACAACATTCAATAACATTTTAAACCAAAATTCCATAGTCCCCAAACCAGCTCTAATCAAACCTTAAACCAACCCCAAATCAACCCTAAACCAACCTTAAACCGATTATAAAGAATCCCTTAATCAAACCCCAAAGAAAACCATAAAGCAAACTATCTATATGTATATACTTATATATATATATATACCAGGTTCTTCAAAGTGACCTCCATTAGAGGTCATTTAGCATCGAAATGGATTTAGGTCACTTACCACATCCATGATATCTTCATAAGGCCTAAGTGACCTTTTTATCATTTTGATATCGAAGGGTTAAGTGACCCTTTTTGGTTATGTATGATGATAGCTTTATAGAAACTTGTTATGTATGCCATTATCTATCCTGAATGGGCCAATGGCAACTTGGGATCATATGTTGGTGATATAGAATGATGATGATAGGTGAGGGTTCCGGACAAGCGCCCATGTAGCCCAGCCATGCAGCACCTGCAGGCTCAGGTAATGCACATGTGCAATCAAACAAAGGAATAAAGGCATGATGACCCAATCTGGAGAGATCTTACCACCCCATCACAGGATACACTCAACGAAGGCCTAAGTTAATTATTTATATTTTTTAGGAGGGTCCTACTGGTGTGACCACTACTGCCCTTGCCATGGCTGATGATCCTGCTTTCATTCGAGACCTTTCCACAGATGGGCGGATTCTTGGTTTGCAAATGGGTATGGTGATAGGAAAGTATATAGCACACTGCAGGGCATGGTTTCAAACTACTAATTATGTAAGACTATGTATAGCCCATTGGCCACCTGAGGCGTATCTTTAAAGCTATGGAGAGATATATGCCTGATGCTGCGTCAATCCATGAAGAGAAGGAGTTGGTCCCAGGGGGTGATCTGAGGATCAAGGGAAACTGGTGGCTTCGCAGGGCTTGGCGAAAATCCAAAGCTACGCGGGTTCCGAGGGAAATGGAGTTCCGTAAGATCCTACGTACCCTTATCCAACGGCATTCCCTATGCAACTTGGTTTATTTTTTGCTGTTGAACACAACTGGTAATCCTTGATATTATACATGTAGACTCCTATTCTCAGCTCAGGCCCCAAAAGTGAAGTTGACCCTGAGTCCTGGATCCGGGAACAAGACACCTGGCTTTATTTCACTGCAGATGAAATATTTGTTAAAGTTCATTACCTTCTGGTAATTTAACGTAGCTATGGAAAATCACCATTTTTTATGGGAAAATCAACTATTAATGGCCATTTTCAATAGCTACGTTAAATTACCAGAGGGTAGTTCATTGATCCATCTCACCCTATCTCACACTTTCCATGCCCATCATCAAAGCTGCCCGTTGCCACTATGTGGTCAAGAGGCAACAGAAGATGAAATATAGGGGTACTTCTTCATCCAGGTCCAGCTTAACGACAAAAGCACCAACTGTGACACTTGGAACTTCAAACACAATATGGCACACAACCCGTACTATATATCCTACATTGATCCAGAGTTGGGGGAAACCAAGGAATCCAGATCAAATGGATACCCAGCCGTTTTTTGACTTCGAACCTTTGGATGATGCTGCAATGCCACTTGTCATAAATGTGATTGCAGCAATGACTATTTTTAATGAATCAACAAAAAACTGCTGAGGTTGGCTAGTGGTGCTCTCCCTGCCAAGGGGGATGAGGATTCCGATGGGTCCCAATTGTAGGTGCTTAAGCAACCATAACTTTTATTAATTACAATATGGGCCACTTAAGAATCTAACCAATCCTCAGTCAGAGCTGCAGCTCAGCAGGATGGCAAACAAGGGAAGCCGACAAAGGACAAAGATGAGAGAGGTCAGAAGAGATCTGCTCCATCAGAGGTGGGAGAAACTGACGGTGATGAAAGTTGTGATGGAAGTTGTGAGAACAAGGAAAGTAGCGATGAAGAGAAGAGCCAAGATGGCAAAGACCCTCTGCAGGATAATGATGAAGATGAGGAGGAAGATGGAGAACAGAGCGAAGATGAGAAGAAGGACGAAGATGAGGAGAAGAGCCAGGATGGCAAAGACTCTGTGCAGGATGGCGATGAAGATGAGGAGGAAGAAGGAGAACAGAGTGAAGATGAGAAGAAGGACGAAGATGAGGAGAAGAGCCAGGATGGCAAAGACTCTGTGCAGGATGGCGATGAAGATGAGGAGGAAGAAGGAGAACAGAGTGAAGATGAGAAGAAGGACGAAGATGAGGAGAAGAGCCAGGATGGCAAAGACTCTGTGCAGGATGGCGATGAAGATGAGGAGGAAGAAAGAGAACAGAGTGAAGATGAGAAGAGGACGAAGATGAGGAGAAGAAGATGATGGCAAAGACTCGCTGAAGGACGGCGATGAAGATGAGGAGGAGGAAGGAGAACAGAGAGAAGATGAGAAGAAGGACGAAGATGAGGAGAAGAGCCAGGATGGCAAAGACTCTCTGAAGGACAGGGATGAAGATGAGGAGGAAGAAGATGAAGAGCAGAGCAACGATGAGAAGGATGCAGATGAGGAGGGTAGCGAAGCTGATGAAGAAGGAAATAATGATGCAGGGAAAGGGAATGACACAGACATGGATGAAGAAGATGAAGATGAGATGAAGGAGGTAATTGAAATCGAAGATGATGTGCTGCATCCTGACAATCAACTTGGAGACTCCTCCTTGTACCCATCAGAAGATGACCCTTTCCCGCCTGACGAGATTGAGGACAACTCAGGTGCCAATGATGAGAATGAAACAACTGAGTTGACACGTGATGATGAAGGCAACGCAGAAGAAGGTGATGATGGTGGGTCGACAGGGGTCTCTGATGAGAGCAACAATGATGAAGAAGAGCTGGACAAAACTGAGGGTGCCAGGACAAAGGAAGTAAGGAAGGAAATTATTAGGATTGGACATCGTGCTTGGGAAGTAGAAATTGATTCTTCTGATGACTGCGAAGACAGCCGACAAGGAAAGTAGCGATGAAGAGAAGAGCCAGGATGGCAAAGACCCTCTGCAGGATAATGATGAAGATGAGGAGGAAGATGGAGAACAGAGCAAAGATGAGAAGAAGGATGCAGATGATGAGAAGAGCCATGATGGCAAAGACTCTCTGAAGGACAGCGATGAAGATGAGGAGGAGGAAGAAGTAGAACAGAGAGAAGATGAGAAGAAGGACGAAGATGAGGAGAAGAGCCAGGATGGCAAAGACTCTTTGAAGGATGGCGATGAAGATGAGGAGGAAGAAGGAGAACAGAGTGAAGATGAGAAGAAGGACGAAGATGAGGAGAAGAGCCAGGATGGCAAAGACTCGCTGAAGGACGGCGATGAAGATGAGGAGGAAGAAGGAGAACAGAGTGAAGATGAGAAGAAGGACGAAGATGAGGAGAAGAGCCAGGATGGCAAAGACTTGCTGAAGGATGGCGATGAAGATGAGGAAGAAGGAGAACAGGGAGATGGTGAGAAGATGGATGTAGATGAGGAGAAGAGCCAAGATGGCAAAGACTCTCTGAAGGACAGGGATGAAGATGAGGAGGAAGAAGATGACGAGCAGAGCAACGATGAGAAGGATGCAGATGAGGAGGGTAGCGAAGCTGATGAAGAAGGAAAGAAGGATGCTGGAAAAGGGAAAGACGAAGACATGGATGATGAAGATGAAGATGAGAAGGTGGGTGATGCTGAAGCTGCAGGCTGTGAACACAGCAAGGAGGGCCAAAGCAGAACCAACAAGGAGCACAAGACTGAGGATCAGGAGCAGGATGTCAAGAAGAACCGAGATACAAAAGGACGGCCAAGTGCTGCAGCCCTTGGCTTCTCAACTGTCGGCATGACAGACAAACAAGTGAGGAATGTGATGAACAAAGGAAACACGGCAGATGAGAAAAAGCCAACAAAAAAGACAACCCGAAAGAAGGCTGATCCAAAGGCAAGAGTGAAGAATGAAAAAAAACACCAAAAGGTTGTGATGGTGACAGCCTTGATGACATCAGCATCAGTTCCATGGAGTGTGGCATGGACAGTTCATCGTCGACGTCATCATCGAGCTCATCGTCCAGTGATGATGATGAAGATGGTGGCCTTTCTGTGAAGGCTGGAGCTCTGCTTAAAGTTCGGCCTGAATTCCCCAAAACAAACATTAGACGATGGATGACACCAGGATCAAGATATGATACTCCACAGAACCTACCCACTATGGAGGATATCATACAAGACAAGAGACATTTCAAACAGACAAAGATTGGCTGGGTCAAACCATCACTGGCCCAACTGAAGGAGACCAAGGGAAAAGGTGAGGATCCTGGAGCTGCTGGAAAGGAAGGAAAGGATGCAAAGAATGATGAGCTACCAATCCCGAAGCACCGTCGCCGAACAAAGAGTTGGCGATACTTGATCTATGTTATATGGGTCCGGGGATGTTTGGGATGTTGCCAGCTCAAAAAAAAATCCTTCAGTTAGAACATGAACCAACAAAATCGTGATTCTGCCATGTACAGCTAGAATTTATGCTTAAACCAAGAACTTATGATTTGCATCGAGATCACATTCAGTAACCATCCCATGTACCATATCTATAACAGATCCCCGATTTCAACCAATATTCTGTGATCTCAGGAAGCCCTGAGAAGGAAGTGAAGTCTGCACCAGCGAAAGCCAAGAAAGCACCTTGGCGTTCTAGATGCGCTGGAAGGGAGCATTTGCTTCTCAGTCCTGGCCAGGGAATGTGATTGGAAAAATAAAACAAAACTACTCGATAGGGTGTTTCATGGTGTCTACAGCTAAATTAGCATGTTCTAAATTAAAAATACAAGAACAATATAAATGGCACTGGCTGACTAAGGATGTGGAGGCAAAATCCTCGGTTGAAGTGCTCCACGCCAAGGACTTTGTTTTGTCAACATTCAGAGTTGCAATCAACAAATGCCAACAGGTTGCTTTGGATGTGGCATCTGCAAAACTCCCATGTCCGGAAGACCAACTTGACCAAATTCGCCAAAGAAGAGAAAAAACTAAAGATCACTCATCGAAACTCAGCCTTACATTACAAGTGTTGGATGGATTTCCCCAGATTGTTCTGAATGGACATCATCCAGAACCCAGTAGCTAAGGAAATACGAGATTGTTGAGACTATCGACCGCTCACAGGACTGGCGAATCGAGGTACGAAAGCGCTTGACCGGAAAACTTCGTGGGCACCTCTACAAGGTTTTCATTTCACCCACAGGAGTTAAGTTTTATACCCTTGGAAAGGCATGCCAAGCTGGTTTCCCCAAAGAAGAGTGTGATGATGGCCGTACGAACAAAAAACCTCGTACAAACAAGAAGGGATCAGCCAAGAAGTGAAACCAATGGTATAGCTTGCACCTGCATAGTTTGGAGATATATTATTTCTGACTTGTTTTCGTGGCTGCTCCTGTTTCTGCTGAGACCTGCTATTTTCTCCAGCTGGGGTGTTGCAGTCCTTCCCTCTTAGTACTTGGTCCCAATATGTTCCAATAAAATTGTTGATAGCAAAAAAAATACTCTTATTGTATGTTTACTTACTAAGTCAATGGGGGTGCGGCTGTGCAAGTTGGGTGGTTCACATGTGAAATCCGTGTGACCTGAACCTGGGGATTTGAGATGTCTACAGACAAAAAGAAAATATGCACCCATGCTTGGCAGCGATGCTTGTGAGGAACACGAGAACTGCACCATGCATGATGCTGAACAGTGATATGTGGTGTCCGAGAGCTCGGCTCAGCTGACTGCTGACATCCTCTAGTGAAGTAGGAAGCCTCATACCAGTGACAAATTGTTAATCAGAGATCAATCACAAACTAAACAGGTTCCTGGTATGAGAGCTTCCAATATCCTTACCGTTCTCCTGTGCCTTTCCCAGCTACCCGTGCCTTCTGAACCGATTGATTTTGTTACTTGATCCAATATGTTTTTTTTTGTTTGTGTTGGTACAATGGTGCCCTGTACTCTGTGCTAAGCAGGTGTTAGGTGATAAAGGTGTTTGTTGCCCAAGTTCAATTGGTATGCCAGCCATGGTGATTTGCACTTACCATTAAGTTGGTCACAACAGGGTTAGTTGGGAGCTATATCTTAAATAATTATAAGGGATATCCAACATGTTTTTTGTTTGTGTTGGTACAATGGTGCCCTGTACTCTTTAAGTAGGTGGTAGGTGATCAAAGTGTTTGTTGCCCAAGTTCAATTGGTATGCCATGGTGATTTACACGTACCATTAAGTTGGTCACAACAGGGTTAGTTGGGAGCTATATCTTAAATAATTATAAGGAATAGTATACGATATTATTCAGTCCATTGTTTTTGTTGATGTCTTTTGAGCAATGAACATCGTTCACAACTGGCTATGAGAAACAATTAATCTCTCGACCAGGTTGAAGTATGCTCGGGCTGCGCACAACTGAGCAAAGCTATGCGCATGACTGGCTATAATGGAAAGTCCTTTGATGCTTCTTGGCTGAAAATGGAAATTCATGGAAATTATATGATCTTACTGATTCAAGGAAACCATGGTGGTCGAAATACTGATATGTGAAGTAATGTGTTTTGAGATATGCGCATGCATAAGTGCATGTATGTTCATATGTCATGAGACCTTAACCTAGCATGTTTTACGAAATGTTTTTTTTTGTGAGTCGAGGTGGCCTATTCGTCCAACCACAACCTGATGAGAACCATTGGGTTTATCACAGTACTCGCCGCAGTTGCTAGGCTGAAGCTTCAGTCTTTTGGCATGTGGTCCCAGCATTTCATTCCCCATTCATCCAGAATGGAATGCTAGCCATAGTTTAGATTCTACTACACAACACAACCATAATCAAGATTTCACTGGCAACCCAACCATAGTTAAGTTTAGATTCTACTAGAACCATATAGTTTAGATTCAAAACTACCAAACCATAGTTTTAGATTCCACTTGCAAACCCACTATAGTTTAGATTCAACTACCATAGTTTAGATTCCACTTGCTACCCAACCATATTAGATTATATTGTTTGGATTCTACTGGCAACCCAACCATAGTTTAGATTCTACTGGCAACCCAACCATAGTTTAGATTCTAATACCAAACCATAGTCTAGATTACACTTGCAACTCGGATCCACCATAGTTTAGATTCAACTACCATAGATTAGATTCCACTTGAGACCCAGCAATAGTTTAGATTCTACTGTTTAGATTCTTCTTGCAACCCAACCACAGTTTAGATTTTACTTGCTACCCAGCCAAACTTTAGATCCCACTGGCAACCCAACCATAGTTCAGATTCTACTGGCAACCCAACCATAGTTTAGATTCTACTACCAAACCATAGTCTAGATTCCATTTGCAACCCCACCATACTTTAGATCCTACTACCCAATCATAGTTTAGATACCATAGTTTAGATTCCATCACAACCCAACTTATTTCACTTGCCCAGGTATGGCACACACGCCCTGGTGGAGTCCTTGTCTTTGCACCTCCGTGTAGCAGCTGGGTATTCCTGTCACGATCGGTGACAGAAAGGTCGTGGAGCTCACCCCAAGGGAACGAGGAACGGCGGTCAGTGAAATTGGCCAACATTTTGGTACTTCGTATGTTATACATGTTGCCTGGCATTAAATACTGATTGGAATCCAATTTTTGAAGTCATTCAAAATCATGCGCACATCCGTTAATTGCCTCCCATGTGCAACTGAGATTGTATTACGCAGTGAAGCGGAATGTGCGGATCCTTGTAGAACAACCTGCATCCAGTGCTCCTAATCTGAAATTATGCTAACATCATCGTTGGAAATCTATAATGGATAGTGGTCAACCAAGGTTCTGTGGCATTGGCGTCCAGTTCAAAAATTCCTACTTTGGTGTGGTGCCAGGTGCTAAAGGGAAAACCATGTGTTTCTGTCTAGAAGCTTATGATGTTCATATGGGGGTTTTCATAAATGGGGATCCCCATGGGATGGTTTATAAGGGAAACTCCTACTATCATGGATGATTTGGGGTACCTATATTTTAGGAAACCATATCGATCCATATCTAGTTTGATATATCCAACATGCCCCCTTGAGGCGTGTTTCATTCCCAATGGGAGCCTTCGGGGCACCCACCATGAAGATGACAGTGACCCTAAGTGGCAATATTGATTTTCGTTTTATAATGTTCGAGCTCCAGTTACCTACCCACTTGCCACCTCATAGTCTCCAACTACACCCTGGAACTGCCACAGCTGGGCTGCTCAGGATATGGTCTACGTTGGACAACCTTGGCTCACTGCGGAGGCCGATCAGCTTGAAGCTTCTGAGGGAAGCTCTTGCCAGGACAGAAGAGTGTGTGTGTGTGGTCGTGGTATTATGTTTGACTTCAAATGTGGCACATGATTGTTGTTCAACTTACTTCCAGCTAATTTATGCACATTTGGGATTGCAACCCAACCAGAGAATATTGATTATGATTGCAACTATATAGGTTGCAACAGTGGAAATCAAATTTGAAAAAAATATATGTGAATTGATGGCCCCCATATGTGGCTTTTGGTTGATATAAATGTACTATTTAAAAGTGTTATGATCGGAAATCTATAATATAGAAATCGTGTATTGTAAAGAAACCCATATACCTGTGCCTCACCAACCCATGGGTTGCATCTTACAGGAGTCACCAGCCCACCCTGGTCAAGAAGACTATTAACAAACGCACTGGTGAAGCCCAGGTCACAGGGCAGAAAGGTGGCCTAGCTAAGTCTGCCAACTACCCACTGCAGTTCGGTCTAGCAGTGGCAGGGTTGGTGCGCCCTACTGGGTCCCCTTCTGCCAGCCCGGAGCTGGGTTGGGTTGGGCAACAATATTCAAATTGGTTCTCGGTGGGTATACACAATGGGTTCCCCTGTTTAACCTTGCCCTGACTCATGTGAAGATTGATTGGTATTTTGATGTATTTTGTATGCCCTGAAGGAGATTGAAGTTGCCGATTCTGATCCCAATGAATTTGATCATGGTGCTATCGATGATCTTATCAAAGGGCGCAAACATGCTGCATGGCGCTTCTTGTGACCAACCTACCTGTGCAGCACTTGAGTTAAAAAGGTAAAATATATCTCATGCAAGTGCAGGGTGTTTCTCATGGGATGTGTACTGTGACTTTGTGATTCGGATGTAGTGGTATGTGTTAATTGTGCAATAGTGAATTTGACTTGCATATCTTCCGTCAGTTCGATCCTAAATCAAATTGGGGTGAAAATGCAAATCCACATTTGTGATCAATCCTGCATAAGCTATTTCCTTGCTCTAAGCCTTTGGTATAGCTACCAAAGATGGATCGGAAAGATCCCAAGCCAACTCGATCTGAAGTGATAGAGCAATGGAGACGTTTTTTGGAAGGGATCGCAAACGAGCGTATCTGTCTAAGCTGTTGGGCCCCCCAGCTATGCAAATATCTGTCTGAGTTTTCTGACTGCATTAAGGTATGCAATTTGTACTGAATTGTTTTTAAGTCGGATTATGTGTGCCTTAAATGATGGTTTTGAATGATAACAACTGTGCAATGGCCTATTAGGACTGACTACAAGAACCTGCTCGCCATCAGCTTTGATTGCAGATGTGAGCTTGAAGATTGAGCCTGGCAACTTAGTGATAATGGGGCAATTCATTGTACAATACTATACTCGATAATTCAAAAATCGAACCAGCAGTGATAACTGCTGATGTTTTGCTTGAGATGCCCACCCTCCACCTGAAAATGATCAGACTAGTCATGCTGAGTTGCCACGCATCGATATTTATCGAGATGGAGTTGCCTGTGCCAGGAATCATGGGGATCACAGGTGGTAAGGGATTTCGATTTACCTCGTCATTTTTAACATTTTTGGCTCCAAATGGTGCGTGTCAATGCGTGTCATTAGCGTGTCACTGGGCATTATCGAGACAATATCAAAGGGTCACTTAGCATTATCAAAGGGTCACTTATCATTATCAAAGGGTCACTTAGCATTATCAAAGGGTCACTTAGCATTATCAAAGGGTCACTTAGCATATCAAAGGGTCACTTAGGCCACTGCCCCGGACCGTGTCATTCGCGTGTCACCCCGGTGCCCATTTTGGGCAAAAAAACGAATTTCAGCAGTTCAGACTGGTGATTGTCCAGGACCATGGTTCCATCAAAATTGCATTTATCGATATGATATTGTTGCCAATCAGCTTGAGTTCGATTTTGTTTCAAAAATAAGCACAATTATATATAAAGCCTCAACTATACTGCCACCCTGAGCAGGACCATCAACCAGAACAAGTACAGCATGGCAAAGACGGTAGGAGAAGTAAAGAAAAATAAGGTAAGAGCTGCTGAAAAGCCTGCAAAGAAGCCAGATAAAGCTGATACACCAGAACCTGCAAGTGACAGCACCAAGAAGAAGCCATCTCCAAAGAATGAAGAACCGAAGAATCAGAAGGATGTAGCCAGATCGTCCAAGGATGGAGCTGGAGAGAAGAAGAATGAGAAGACTTCAGCAAAAGGCCCCAAAGAGGCAGCTGCTTCCAAGAAGGACACCCAGAAATCCCAGAACAAGCAAGATGAGAAGCCAAAGATGAAGAAACATGACAAAGCCAGCAATAACACAAAAGACACACCAGAGAAGGAGAAGACGAAGAAGGATGAGGACAACAAGAAAGGGAAGAATGTTCCCAAAGACACCGCAGCTGAGAAGACCGACACTTCAAAGGAAGCACCGAAGAGAGATGCAGAGAAGAAGAAGAAGGATGTAGCCAAGTCGTCCAAGGACGGAGCCGAAGATGAGAACACGGAGAAGAAGTCAAAGGACACCACCAAAGTGAAGGATAATTCCAAGAAGGGCACACAGAAGAAGCAAGATGAGGAGCCAAAGACTCAGAAGACTGACACTTCAAAGGAAGCACCGAAGAGAGATGCAGAGAAGAAGAAGAAGGATGTAGCCAAGTCGTCCAAGGACGGAGCCGAAGATGAGAACACGGAGAAGAAGTCAAAGGACACCACCAAAGTGAAGGATGATTCAAAGAAAGGCACACAGAAGAAGCAAGACGAGGAGCCAAAGACGCAGAAGACTGACACTTCAAAGGAAGCACCGAAGAGAGATGCAGAGAAGAAGAAGAAGGATGTAGCCAAGTCTTCCAAGGACGGAGCCGAAGATGAGAACACGGAGAAGAAGTCAAAGGACACCACCAAAGTGAAGGATGATCCCAAGAAGGGCACACAGAAGAAGCAAGACGAGGATCCAAAGACTCAGAAGACTGACACTTCAAAGGAAGCACCGAAGAGAGATGCAGAGAAGAAGAAGAAGAAGGATGTAGCCAAGACGTCCAAGGACGGAGCTGAAGATGAGAACACGGAGAAGAAGTCAAAGGACACCACCAAAGTGAAGGATGATTCCAAGAAGGGCACACAGAAGAATCAAGATGAGGAGCCAAAGAAGAAGACAACTGATGAAGCCAACAATGGCACAAAAGACAAACCAGAGAAGGAGAAGACGAAGAAGGATGAGGACAACAAGAAAGGGAAGAAGGTTCCCAAAAACACCGCAGCTGAGAAGACCGACACTTCAAAGGAAGCACCGAAGAGAGATGCAGAGAAGAAGAAGAAGGATGTAGCCAAGTCGTCCAAGGACGGAGCTGAAGATGAGAACACGGAGAAGAAGTCAAAGGACACCACCAAAGTGAAGGATGATTCCAAGAAGGACACACAGAAGAAGCAAGATGAGGAGCCAAAGACTCAGAAGACTGACACTTCAAAGGAAGCACCGAAGAGAGATGCAGAGAAGAAGAAGAAGGATGTAGCCAAGTCGTCCAAGGACGGAGCCGAAGATGAGAACACGGAGAAGAAGTCAGAGGACACCACCAAAGTGAAGGATGATCCCAAGAAGGGCACACAGAAGAAGCAAGATGAGGAGCCAAAGACTCAGAAGACTGACACTTCAAAGGAAGCACCGAAGAGAGATGCAGAGAAGAAGAAGAAGAAGGATGTAGCCAAGACGTCCAAGGACGGAGCTGAAGATGAGAACACGGAGAAGAAGTCAAAGGACACCACCAAAGTGAAGGATGATTCAAAGAAAGGCACACAGAAGAAGCAAGACGAGGAGCCAAAGAAGAAGAAAGCCGATGAAGCCAAAGACGGCACAGAAAACAAGCCAGAGAGTAAAGCAAATAATGACAAGGATAGTTCCAAGAGGGAAGCACAGGGTGAGCCTGGGACAAGCCATGCCACACCACCCAAAACTACCGCGATCAAAGCTGATGCCAACAGCCATGCTCTCACTCTTCTAGAGTCCAAAGACCCCTCAAAGCGGAAGAGCCTCAGCAGCAATTCCACCACAGCTTCGTCTGATCCTGAGAGCAAGCGGCCAAAGGTGTCTACCCAGAGTCATGACAAGCGGGACCCAGAAGGCCCCACTGGGTCCACCCCTGAAAAGAAAAGGCTGAAATTTGAAAGCGAAAACGAGGCAGGATCACCTTGGTGCTGCCTAGTGTAATCGAGACATCATTGGTCTATAGTAACAAACCAACAATTGGAAATCCAATAGTCCCATGTATAGCCAAAACAAAAAATATGCTCAGGTTTGCTTCATTAAGATGTGGGGAGAGTATACCAAATCACCTCATAGACTCATATACCATCTCATTTGTGATTTGTCAGCTCTGCCAGGAGTTCATGCCAGCCCGAATGGAGAGCATGAGGACACTTCCAAGTTTTGACCTACTTGCTTCGCCAGCCTCTGTGGACACTTCAACCACTGAGGACTGCTGATCCTGCTGTGTGGCCTATGTCTACTGGGTTCTTTATAAGGGACCTATTTTACACAACTACAACAACCCAAGCGATCTCACATAGAGTACTGTTGAAAATGAAAATGGTGGGCAACGTATTATTTTATTATATTTTCCTCATTTCGATCAAACACCCCAGCCTAGGGTATAACTTACACTACCTAAGTCTGTTGGCGCAGGAATCTTCCTCGCAAAAGCCTGGAAATGCCCGGATGACAAAGCTTACTGAGGAGCAAAAGGAGAGCATCAGTGCAATGGCATCCCCGTCATGCATGGATAGTGCAGAGCGTAAGCGGCAGTATGCTGCCATGGGTCGTGCAATAACTAAGACCTGTAACCCAAGCCTTTTGGCAAAGTATCAGCTATGTTCTGACACCGAAAGGTGGGGTGTTGATCAAACAACTGTATAGCCATAGCTAACTATGCTTCGATGGTATACTTAACATATACTAACATATTATGCTTTAAACCCAATGTAGTTCTCAACCCCTCAGTAGGTGGACAATGCTGAAGCAATGGCTGGTGAACGATGGCAAGACCGACTCCATCACCGTTGAGGAGAAGTATGTGAAGTGGACGGAGGAGCTCCGTAGTGACAACTATGCTACAGTCCCTCTGCTGGAATCACAGGTTATAACGTGATTGATTGGACTTTTGGGGTAGATGTCCCCTGCATACATGGGGATGGGGACCATTGTTTTCACCATTGGTACTGTATGCTTTACCCAATGGTTACTACAGTATTTTCCCTTATCGTTTCTGCATGGTTTATCATTGTTATTGCATCCTTTCCAACTATAAGGTCACACTGCTACAGCTGGAACAGACCTATGGGACTTCGCCAGAGGCCAAGGAGTTCATACAAGAACTTACAAAGGGTGACTAGGCCCAATAAAGTGCATTTCAACTGCAGGTTCGAGAATTTACAGGAACAATGCCATACTTTTGGGTCCTGATCTTGGGATTGGTCCTCCTCATCAACATCATCATCCTCAACATTACCCACCCTCCTCAACATTACCCACCCTCCTCAACATCATCATTCTCAACATCATCGTCATCATCATCGTCATCATCATCATCAGCATCATAATCATCATCATCATCATCATCATCATCAATGTCAACATTATCATATTTACATGTTCCTACCACTCCCTCACACTGGTTGGGGTCTTTTGCTGTTTTTTTGAAGTGAATACCCATGATGTTTTGTCAACCAACCATTGCTCATGCCCATCGCTCAACAAGCTGCCGAGCCGCTAAGGGCAGACAGGCACAGCGCATCCCCAGGCGCCGGGATGTGCCAAGGCAAGAATGTACAAAGTCCTTCGCGAGGTCAGTGAGGAAGTGAAACAGGGACAGCGGGGTGAAAGTTCACTCTCTGTAGGTGGACGAGTGAGGAACCCTGAACTCAAGGCTGTCGTTGCACGACAGTTAGGTCAAGCACTTGGGTCACTAGAGGGAGCAGCACAACTAGACCTTAAGACTGGGCGCATCGCGTCCAAGAAGGTCAAAAAAGAAAAAACCCAAGAGCAATTGGCTTTGGATGAAGTCAAAAAGTTTAACTCCAAGCTACTTATTTTATGTTGGTTGTTCACATGATGCATCAGCTATATGTGAAATTTCAAATCATCAATTATCCTATTCACTGTTAGTGACTTTCCGACCTGAGGCTGAAGAAACTGAACAATGAGCTGCCCAAGGTCATTGACGAGATTAATGAGTTTAATGTCAGAAATTCCGGTGAGCTGGTACCTAGTCCCACCATTCACCAATCATTTCTTTCTTTTGTAGCTGGCACCACCCATGTATATACTTCTGCAGTGCAACCTAAGGTAAAAGCCCTGATCAAGCACATTGATGAAGTTCATGCTTTGCTGGAAATCACGATCCCCAAGACTACCACGCTCCTGTCAGAGATCAATGCTGATGAGTTCCATGAAACTAGGTTGATCTAGGTTGTATGTTTCCCTCATACCATTTCATTTACTTTTGATATATATATATATATATATTTTTTATGATCGAATGGATCGAGATAGCCAAACTGTTTTAGCTCATGAGTTCTCCTATGTCTTATCCCTAACAACCCATATATTAGATGATATGTTATGCCAACCGCCTACAGCTAAGGACTTTGTGAACCGCCACAAGGCCGCCGTCAGTGTGATCGAATCGGACCTCCGTGATGCGAAGCGCCGGGTGAGCGCCGTGAAGGGGCCTCGTCCGAAGAAGGGTGTTGTCAAGAGTACGGCAGTTGAAGATGATGATCAAGATGGTGATCAAGATGATAATGTTAATGATGAGTCAGCTGGTGAGTCTGACTAGTTGATTAGTTTTGAAACATAAACCCATGAAATGTTTCTTGATGCTCTCAGATTCACCATTGAAAAATGGCACTGTAGAGGAGACCTATGGGAATGATGATCACGCGATCAATCAGCCTGAAAGGCATTGGGTTTAACATGTGTTTTCCGAAACTGTTTCAATGGCCAAATGTACTATAACAATATTTGCGATTGTTGCTCAAATGATCGATATGAAAACACATGCTTGGTACAGTGCTGTGAACAGCATCTGTTACTTTCGTCGGGACTAGCTGTTAGATGTGACCATTTGTCACCCTCGGCTGGTCCGTTTTGGGGGAACATGATCAACTCGATCGTGCCTTAAGTTTCTGAATGGGATCTAAGTTCCACTGGTTTAACCCATGATGGAGGTTGAAACCTGATGATTTGTCGATCAGGCGTGTGTGGAAAGGAGCCTATGTCGACACAATTAATGCAATGTGCTTTGAGAACACATTATACATTTAGCAAACTCTCACTTGCCTGTGACATTAAAGGGACCACTCAAGGGGAGTTGAGTGTTGCAGCAACACATGCTTGAATATGTGTCCAATGTTTCATTTACCATTCAATGGGGTTTCTCATTAACATTTCACATAGCATTTCTCTACACCCGAAAAAAATATGGTGAGCCACCAATGGACCATTGTTTCCTGCCATTCCCAACTGCCGTTCTCTCACACCTGCTGACACCATGGACGTCGTGGAGGAGTTCATTGAACTTGGTCGACAAGTTGCCTGGCTGCAAAGGTGGTGCTGGTGGTTAGCTTACTGTACCTTGGCCTTTGGATTTCAATACCACTCCTTAGGTTAGTGTGAGCACATTGATGAAGATGCTAGATGTGATCAAACGGAGATTTCCTCGAAGACTCTTACCGAACCTTGTCAAAATATGTTTATATATGTTTATTTTGTTTTTCAACAGGCGCACTAAACATAATAAATCCCTGTGATCCTGGAACATCATCCTAGGAGCAATATGCAAGATTTAGTTCGTACTCAATCTGGCACTGGACGAAATGGACCACGCAATTTTTGGAACTGGCTAGAGAGACAACCATGGCGGAAAATGCTTCCTCGTCTACTTGAGCACCCTGGCACATATGATATGTGTGTTGCAGTATGTTGCAATGTTATATATAGCATGACACATATTAGGCTTAAAGTGCCATCCATTGTGCCCTCTGAGGGTCAACACAGTCCTGGAAGACAAGTCGATGAAGGACCCGTTCTACATTGGCTCTTGGCACATTTTTTTGCCATCAGAGGTGTTGCTTGGCAATGGTTGGGCAGCAGGGTATTGCATGCAGGAGGGGTTGTGTGTGTGTGTTGGGTGGGAGTTGAAGCTTGGGTTTTGCTCAAGCACAAGGTTTGGGAGCATCTATCACTATGACAAGAAGTTGTTCGCTGAGCGTTTCCTGGGTCCACCTGGAGTTACTCGACTGAAATGTTTGGAAAGTAAATTCCTTTAGCAAGGATCAACACACATCAACCTACTGTTCAGTTTTGTTTTACTTTTTTGTTCGACAGATTTCGGCAGTAAGGCCATTGATGAGTTTTGGGAGCATCAGAAACATACCGAATGGTTTCAAAACCACCCTGTCCTACAAGACCCAGCTACCTGGCTAAACAAAGTATACATGTTCTGTGGTGAGACTTGGACTAAATGGTTTTAGAATTGGCATTAAGGACACAGACCTTTCTAGATGCGTTCCATTGGTATTTCACTGCGATGATGGAGAGGCCCACAGAAGAAGATCATTCATGATCAGCTCATTTGGGTCAGCAGTAGTCCACAAATCTCCTTGGGATTGTCGCTTTGTACTATACTGCACTGACAATGCGAAGAGCTGTGACAACACCTATGACACCTTGGACACATGGTTGGCATGGTCGTTTACTGAACTAGGTGCTGGACGTTTCTTGGAGCACTCTCCATGGGGGGAGGTGATGGGGCTACGGAAATCCAAAGCAGGAATGCCAATTGCTGATGGTTGGAAGGGTATACTGTTTGCACACAGGGGGGACGAGAAAGCTCTCGCCAAGAGCTTTCACGTGAAAACAACCTGGGTGAGTGAGGAGGTATGCTTTACTTGTCGAGCATCCCGGCGTTCAGATTCCGAGTTGCTGTACACAGGGTTTGGAAAAAACGCATTGCACCGAACAACCATGCTTAGCCTCTACGACTTTGTGACTGACCGGTGCAATTCCAACCCTTGGGTCAGAGTGCCTGGTTTTCACCCCTCAATGGTGACATATGACTGGCTCCATGTGCTGGATTTGTCGCTGATTCCAGATGCTTCGGCATCTGCAACAAGACTGCACATATTTTGTTTGGTACATAGTTTGTAATATATATCATATGGGTCAACACTTGTGCTTCCACCACTAGGCACTTATTGAAATTTGTGAACAAGGTGCAGATGTTTGGCCAGGTGCAATCCATGAGTCATATGCCATGTATTAATATGTATTATATTGTGCTATGCATTGCATAACCCAAGTTTATTTGGTTGCAACGTTTCTTATGGGCAGGTTCAAATATGGATGATCGCTTGCGAGCTGCCTATGTGGAATTCCGTGAGCTATGCAAACAGCACAAAATCAGTTTCCCAGCATGTTTTTTTTTTTGTGTGTGTGTATGTCTCATGCACTGTGATCAGTGGTTATAAAAGTCTGTGAATCATTTGGTGGTCGAAAAACAATGCTCAGGAAACCGGGGACTATTTTATTGCATGTTCCTTGGGAGCAAGTATAATGCGCCATAAACATCAAGCATATATTAAAGCCATTGCTCTGGCCCACATGCAGGAAGCATCTGGTCAAAAATGCGCGGTCATATCCGACTATCGCTCAGAAACACTTCAATGGCGCTGACCTGACCTGAGCTTCTAGCATGGTGTCTTTACAGCTCAAGCAACAGATTGTGTGCAAAACATGTGTGCAACGAATTGGTTTTAAGGAATCGGGCATATTGGCCAAATGGTTGATGGGAGTCACCGTCGGTTTAGCAGCAAAAGAGCCTGACAATATGCATAGCCAGTATCATGGCATTTTTAAGTGCAGCAGCTGCAAGTGTATACATAGCACACATGTCAAGTGTTTTCCCATATATCGTTTGACCATCCCGAGGCTACGTGCAGCAGTGTTCGTCAACATGTGTGGTATGCGGGATGCAGTGACCCTACGTCAAGGACCTTTGCTGACTGATGCCAACAGGCAAAAGCTTGAGACTGCCAACTATCTGTTCCATAGCGCTCTCAACTGATTCTTGGCTTAGGTCCTAGGTGATTGCACCTGTTCATACATGATTAAATTCTTTGAACAGTTGTTTCTGGTGATGTTGGTATCTTTTTGGCACCAAGGGCTGGCCTCAGAGGCAATCTCCCAAAACAAACTTCTCTGGAAGTTGAGACCAAAGGCACACAAGTTTCCTAGTAGCACTAGTTTTGTAGAAGCTGTTTTTGGTGCTGCCACTTATGGGATTCAGGCTGGACCATATCGTTTATGATGTTTCTGCACGGATATCACCATTTTGGTGTTCGTGCTATGGGGACGAAGATATGGTGATTGGGCTGCACTGCTGTGTGCATACTGTTCACAGTCATGTGTGCATATGTGTTTGTTTTAATCCAACCTAGCACGCACTTGCATGGGCTGACCAGTTAAGGTGGGAAAAATAAAGTCTTCAGCGAGCAAATGTCACCCACGCTTGTTAGGGCGCCAGGTCTTACAACGCTATGCAAGTTTCGTAGCAGTTCGCTGGATGAGGCAAATGGAAGAGTGGTAGATGTGTGATGTTTTGATATGTTTTGATATGTTTATAGAAATGGTGCCAATGGGTGCTTACTACTTTATAATACTATCGACCTGTTTCCCACCACCATTCCAGCAGATGCTGGCCTCTGTGGACTTGCTGAGCAAGTTGACACACTCCACAATGGTCGCCAGTGCAAATGGCGGAGATGATGACAACGGAAGAACACCTATGTTGCATATATAGCCCCCAAAGGTCTTAACAACTTCTAACTTAAGTCACTTAAGTCACATTGATTAATGCTACATAGGTGTTCTTCCGTGGGAGGGATGGGACAGGTGGTTGGTTGATTCCTTTATTAACACCAAACAAATATCATAGATAGTCACATCTTAACTAACCCCATATATACTACTACCAAAGTGACAACTAACCCATACTAACCCCATATAACTATCATAGATAATCACATCTTAACTAACCCCATATACTACCTAAGTGACAACTAACCCCATATAACTATCATAGATAATCACATCTTAACTAACCCCATATACTACCTAAGTGACAACTAACCCCATATAACTATCATAGATAATCACATCTTAACTAACCCCATATACTACCTAAGTGACAACTAACCCCATATAACTGTTATAGATTATAATCACATCTTAACTACCATATAGTACCTAAGTGACCCTTTCCAGCTTCTCCTAAGTGACCCTTTGATAATTTTGATATTCAAGGTGCATAAGTGACCTATTTAAGAGCCTTTGATATCAAAATGCATATCGAGGTCACTTTGAAGAAGCTGGTATATATATATATATTTAGAATATACATATATATATATATACATATATATGTGTACACTGTATATATACACATATATTTACAGACATACCAGACATATATGTTATGGGTTGGGCCCATGGTTCCGTGAAGGTAATCGAGCCTCTGCTCAAGTGGTCCTTGACATTCCTTGGCCGTGTTTTCGGATTTCCAACGCCTCATTGGAATACGCCCCTGAAATGAATCATGGAACCCTGTGGTTTATGGTAGATGCCCTCTGGTAAACTAACGTAACTATGGAAAATCACCATTCTTAATAGGTAAATCAACTATGAATTTGGCCATGACGCTTTGCGGGCCTCACCTTGAACCATGTCACCAATCATCACCACACAACTGTGATCTCTGCAGCTACTTGGAGGCACATCCCAATTTGGTATACCTGTAGCTGACTCTAGATGTTTTCCAGATATTTAATGATAATTTAAATTTGGGCATTTGACTTAATTTGACTTTGATATTCAAATTTCCTGAGATCATTTTGTATGGAAGTTTTTCAAACTTATTCATATTTGGGGGGCGATTGAAACCGCCAAAAAGACGGATTGTGAATTGAAATCATCATTTGGAACATGATTGGGTGGAACACTCCCATTTAGGATGTCTCCGGATGTTATGGTCTACAGTATGATGTGATGGGATGTTGTGACTTAGATCCATTTCTGCAGGTATCTGAGTCCCTACTAGTTCCCCACCTGCCAGGTGAGGGTTGTTAGATTTTATCAGAGCTGTTCTTCTCCTCCTCGGCTAGCTCTTCTCCTCCTCCTCTTCCTCCTCCTTCTCCTCCTCCTCCTTCTCCTCCGCCTGTTTCGCCTCGACCATGTCTGCATCAACTTCCACCTCAACTTCCGCCTTGCCAACTCTTCGCCAAGCTCTTTGCCAACTTCCCAGCTCAGTGTGCACCGCTGGACCTCAACCTGGGACCTTCCCAGCTCAATGTGCACCGCTGGACCTTCCCAGCTCAGTGTGCACCGCTGGACCTCAACCTGGGACCTTCCCAGCTCAGTGTGCACCGCTGGACCTCAACGGCCAGATAGAATGACAGAAGATATGCCAGATAGAATGTCAGATAGAATGCCAGAAGATATGCCAGATAGAATGCCAGAAGATATGCCAGATAAAATGCCAGAAGATATGCCAGATAGAATGCCAGAAGGTATGCCAGATAGAATGCCAGAAGGTATGCCAGATAAAGTGCCAGAATGTTTGCCAGATAGAATGCCAGAAGGTTTGGCAGATAGAATGCCAGATAGAATGTCAGAAGATATGCCAGATAGAATGTCAGATAGAATGCCAGAAGATATGCCAGAACAGATTGCAGAAGATATGCCAGCTAGAATGCCAGAAGATATGCCAGATAGAATGCCAGAAGATATGCCCGATAAAATGCCAGAAGGTATGTCAGATAGAATGCCGGAAGATTTGCCAGGAACAAAACGTATAAATGTCATGGTGGGGATAACTCGAAGTAAAGTAATTATAATATGTACGATGTTTTTGTTTTGGAGTGCGGCGACCTCACTTGCCAACCTCACCATCAAATGAAATTGGTTGGTTATCAATGGTTATCATTATCTGCTCAGATAGTTGAACCTGCAAGTGGTTAGTTATGAGTTAGTCATTTGCCGCGTCCCTGTGCTAAGTGATGATGATCCCTAAAGACTGATATTGTTGTGTCTGAAACTGATATGTATACCCCCTCGAATGGCCATTTCTCGCCGACCAGGAAGGCAGCACGGGTGGCCAGGCGACTCACTTTGTGTAGATCGTGGAGTCCAAAAGGGTGGTGGGTCATGAGAGAGTAGATGGACCCGGATCATGATCCCATCTACAACAAGATAATTTACCCATCCACGTCATGGTCATTAGATATTAGAGATCTAGAGATCAGTGGTGATAAGAGTAAGACCGGATTCAAAAAAATCTGCATGTGATCATTGTGGTCAGAATGTCGCCATCCCATGAAATGGGCATCACTCCATTGACCCTCCCCTAGATTCCCCCTAGATTCCTGGCGTAGCCAATTTTTGGCCAAGCGATAGATTTTGACGACCCCAGAGGTTGTCCAGCTAGAGGCAGGTTGTCTGCGGCAACGTGCAGCACATAGCGAATTGTTTGAGTGCCGTAATCCAAGGAAGCGTTCAGGCTCAGTGCACGTGCTGTAATCCATGATCACAATGATCAGTTAATATCAGTTACTGTACTTTCAACAGACCACCCACAAAGATCATCTGCACATTGTAATGCTCAATTTTTGTTGAAGTGATACTATGGGAAGTGGTTCAGAAAGGTTCAGGCTTCGATTTGGTCCAGATTCGGAAAGGGCTCTGGCAATCATATGGGCAGGTCGTGTAGGTAAAGCTCCTGAGGTGAACCAAACTCTGTGTTCCACCGTGGGTGAATACGAAATTCCGAAATGCCTTAGTGCATGGACGCTTATATAGCTAGTATGAAGAGCAAATTAGTTCCCCGGCTGATGGCAGCCACAGATTTCAATGGACATCAGCCATACTCTTAGAGATTCCAGGGCCACAGCAGCTGGAAAATTGGCGTGGTGGAGCTCCCTTTGCCCTGGACATGTAAATGTGTGCAGCCACCCTGGAAACGATAGAACAGTTGGAAACCTGAAAAATATTGAGAAAACATGTGTACCATCATGGAAGTACTTGTTCTATCTCTCTTGGGGGTTACTATATCTATACATTCATCTGATTTGTATAAAAGTCATCATAATATATATATATATATATTATGTATAATGATATATTTATATACATATCATTATACACACATACATATGTACTTATATAATATTATATAATGTATAGACGCATGTAAAACATATACATCTTTGCGCCTCTCGTGTGGGCAGGGGCTGAGTGGCCCAAAGAAGGCCGGGATGGGCTGGGGTCCAAAGTGATAAACCAACCAACATGGGGATATGGCTACAGAATGGAAAAGGCGGAATGAATTTGAAACGATCTGATTGGTGGTTTCAAGTTATCTAAGTGACCCGGACGATTTGTAGATGCAATGCCCAGCAGTTGGACGGACTCAATACGCGGCCGTACTCAGCCGTACTCCTAAGGACCTAAGGATGTTTCAGCAGGCAAACAAGTCCGACATATGCACTTGGAAAATATGTGCAAATGTCATGAGAATCCTTTTTTAATCAAACTGCAAGGATCAGAACCCGAACCCGAAAAAGTGTGAGGGTTCACCACACAGAGATTTTGCAGAAGTGCATCTGCATGCTTGCTGTTCCACTCTGGCTGGCGCTTTCCAATTTTCCGTAGCTGGGATGAGGATCCCAAACCACCAACCAGCAATGTCGGGGGCCGATACTGAAGACCTTTGTCAAGATGGTATTCAGGAGGTATCTCAAAGTCAAAGAGTTTATCTATGTTTATCCTACTCTTCCCTGGCCATAAAATTGGATTTTGGGTATACCATGGCATACCCTATTTCTGAAAAAACAGATTACAGTAATACATATATGTGTATGTATTGTATGTATATATATATATCCCACTATATCCCATTATATAAGTCCCTCCCGTGACATATCACTATTGGAAAATATGTAAAACATCCCCATCATCACTATGCCGAGCCATGCCGGTGAGTGACCCAGCTGGGGCGGACAGAGAGGTGTCTTGCTTCCGAAAAGAGAGAGATGCGCGGTGAGTGACACGATGCGCGGACATCCATGTCCCAGGGGCTGCTGTATGTATGATTTATCTATATGTGTATGCATATGCATACATTTTATTATATATATATATTTATACAAACATACAACTACAGACTCTGTAATTATACAGATATGTGTTTAGATACACAGCGGAAAGCAAGAGTTTGTGCAGAAATGCAGTAGGAAAAAAAGTACAGGAACCCATTCTGGTGAAGAGGCCACATACAGAGCCAGGGCGAATCCCATAAACTTGGATGGCTATCCGCCCCAACAATAGGAGCTATATCGCCCGATGTAGGATGGATGACCATACCCCATATACCGTATACCATGTTTCGACCATGGCACATATAAGAATCAATAAGAATCATGGTTATCACTCAGACTTTCTTGTTGAGGTTTGAACTGAATCTCATACTTCAACTCTGGCGGTTTGTACATCTAAAGTTGATCTTTTTTTGCATACCGTCACGCAGCAGAGGTCACAAGTCAAAAGGTGTGCAATGTGTTAATTTGTATAATTTGGATAATTTGATATACATTGAATGATTTTAATATGCTTTACGCAGTCAAAAACCACTAGTTATCGGTGGGAGAACCGCAGCTAGCAGCTGCTGGACTGCGTGTGCGAAGGTCATGGACGTGCTGACAATGTCGAGGCAATGTCCGCAGAAACTCTTCGATCTCTGTGTGGAGGACGGGGCTTGATCCGAAATGGCAACATTGTGGTTGTGTGGTGTGTTTGTCTTAAGAAAGACGTATTTTGACCCAACATATGCTAACCCGATAGTACATATTATAGTCTTATATATCAATGTATGCATATATATATATACAGGTTGGGGGAGCCTGAGACATATCCAAGGGTTCTGTTTTGGTATTGCTGAGGCTTCAACCCATAAACCTTATGAACAATCAGATATGGTGGCATCAACCAAAGGAACAAAAACAATAGAAACAGCCAAAAAAAGAATTTGACCCTTCAAACTTGGGACTTGGATGGATCTGGGGATTCTGTTCACCATGGGCTTCAATACTAAAATAGTCTAACGACTTGGATAATGTGGGGGTACCCCAATGGATTGGACACCTTTATTTATATATATATATGTATGTATGTATTTAGCAATGAACAATCTCCCATTTATGGATGCGTTTCCCAGCGAACTAAAGCTCCATTTAGTTCTGGGATTTCTGGGCTTGTCATGTTTTGATTACCTGAGGCTATGTAGACGATGGGTTTTACAATCCAGGTTCCTAGCTGAAATCTCCTCAAATATCTGTAGCCATGACTGTTGGTTGATATCAACAAGGTAACTTGAGATCATTCAAGGCTTGATCATCAAAACAAGTGACGTCGAATCACTTGAAACATGATAATGAAGCCTTTCCTTGCACTCTTGGACCTACCCAATTTAACATAGCTATTCAAAATCATCGAATTTTCCCTAAATCATCTAGTTTGGGACCATGTTCGCTATGTAACATTTTTCGCAGCTTGGACCAACGCAAGGAGAATCAGTTCTACAGTCTTTGTGCCCACGTCGGTGAGCCAGACCGGAAGAATGGCGACCATAACGCGTGCTCATGGCTGTCCAAGAAGGCTTGGAAGGAGGCCATCAAAGACTCAGTGCCTTGGCTGCTGTTTTTGGTGATAGATAGGTAGACAATTATCGTTTTTTTGGGGATTTCCTAAAATGGTGGTACCCAAAAATGGATGGTTTATGATGGAAAATCCTTTTAAAATTGATGATTTGGGGGTACCACCATTTTGGGAAACCTTAATATAAAGGTATATAATAGATAGAGCTAATTAGAGCTATATATGGATAGAGCATGAAGGAGCTGCATGGATACATTGCTATGTATGTATATCAAAATGTAGGTATTACATTTATTACATTATTACATAGTCTGTTCGTGGGCAGATTGAAGGACTGTTCAAGGCCAACAACTCATGCCAACACTGTTAGGCATCAGAGACTCACCAACCGGACCTGTTTCAATCTGCTCGCGGGAAAGGCATTCATCACCTGACTTAGTGTGACAGTGTTACAAGCCAACTGAATTACTCATAAACGTGAATGAGTAAAATCCGCCGTGTATGTATATAATATACATGCATATACATATTGTGTATATATATATATACATATTGCATATATACATATGCATATATATATATATGTATATATATATATATGCGTATATACTTGTAATATCAAAGGTCTTTTTTTGCATGGCTGAAACCATTAACATTTACAATTAATTTAACATCTTAGAAGTCACACAGTTGTTGACCACATGCGGCATGTTGTACATATCTGTATTTATTTACTTGAATTTAATCAGACCACTCTTCTCTAATCTCATCCAATCTATGTAATCTAATTTGATCAAATTCATCAAACCTCAGAAACATATGAAAGTTCTTGCATGTGAGCTTATCCCTGGGCGACTCCCCTGTCGAGGCTGAGATCGTGGAGAATCTTCTCAACCATTATGGGGAATGGCCGCAGTGCAAGCTCTGTCCCCAGGGCCAGGGTTTTGCCCAGCACCTTCCGGCCGAAAAACATTGGAAGAGACTCTGGGACTTTCTCCCTACCGGCAAACCCATTGTGGCTCGAAGCGATTGAAAAGAGACCCAAAAAGAAAGATGCCCTTTGGTGATTTAACGTAGCAAACTGGAAAATCACCATGTTTTATAGGTAAATCATCATGTTGATCATCTATAAACGGACCATTTTGCATGGCTTTGTCAAATAACCAGAGGGTACAGAATGTTATGGATTTTGTCGACTTGGTTAATGTGAACCCTGCAGAAACTTTTTTTCTGGTTAATGAACCAGGGGGTTAGCCCCCAAAAAAAGTTGCCAAACATATTGCTGCCATTTCATGGCACTCCCCATTTTTTTCATCAGCCTAGGCCTAGGAGGATAATATCAGAAACTGGCTAGTAGCCATAGCTATAACATGTTACAATCCATTTATTATGGGATAACCCACGGTAAACTAACATAACTATGGAAAATCACCATGTTTCATGGGAAAATTATGGAAAATCCACTATAAATGGCAATTTTCAATAGCTATGTTAAATTACCAGAGGATAACCCACGGGATTCGGATCATTCACCAGGGGATTCGGAAAACCAGTACTACCGAATCGTGGGATGACAGCTACCAGCTGTATTCTATTAAACCTGACACACAGTTCAGTCGCCCCTATACTGGTTGTGAAAAGAATATCTAGGTGTAGTTGAAGATGCACATATATATATATATATATATATATGTTGTGTCTCCAGAATTTTCAAAGTGGGCAGTGGGTACTATATCCATCATATCCATCTTCCATCTCAGGTACACTGTGCGAATGAATTGTGGCAGGAGTGGATGGTGGGTCCTGGCAAAATCAAGATCAATCACGTCCACGGCCAAGTGTTTATTTGCCGGGGGAGGACCGCGTTGTTGTGTGAACATTCAATATTGCCAAATTGCGGATAAATTGAGCAATGGATCAAACATCGGAATCCGCAATTTGGGTTTTCATTGCCACCAAATTATTCATAATCAAGTGGAATTGCCAGTAATGTGGTTAAAACAATAATAAACCATGCCCCAAACCATTTTTATAGGTGGTATAAACATGTACAAACCATCAAGCATGGGGTGGTTTATTCTTGTTTTACCCACATGAAATATCACTATTAATCACCATTCATCACTATTAACCACCATTAATCATAAGTAAGAGGGTTGATATCAGACCAAGCTGTTCATTTTGTTGGTCGCCAAGTCACCAAGGTGCAATGACCCATGGGGGGCCCGAGAAGTTGGATGGGTTTTCGAACTTCGAACCCGTAGATGTGTGGGTAGATCATTTCATAATATTCATATGTGCCATGTTCATAGTGAATTTATTAAATACGTATATATAAATATATATGTTTGTATTCAAATAAATGAAAGGGTCATCAAAACATGTTCATAGGGGATTTATGTGTATGATATATGATGATATATGTATGTATGCATACACTATGCATGATAAGGATTCGCAATATGGCATAGATGACTGTAACTCACATATGTGTAGATATATAGGTAAATCTAGTAATATTGGTAATAAATACACCACATATATTTTTCCAACATTATATGTGATATATCACACATATATATTAGTAATTTATAATATTTTGATGACTTGATATTGGAAGATATATATTTGGTGTTTTCCATCAGCAGGATGATGATCCCCATACCAAGCACAACGCGTGAATCCAGAACTTGTTCAAAGAAGATGTCATATATATATATATATACGCCTACCAAGTTTTTTTGTTTGGAGATTTGATGTTCAAAAAATCTGAATATACTATTGTGTTTAATATAAAAAAAAAAACATCAATTTGGTGATTTAATTTCCTCTATATGTCAATATATATATATATGTATATATAATACATTGATTATCAAACAATAGAATAAACCAAAGCAAACAAACCTACCTGGGTGGATGATCCCACGAAATTCTTGCAGGACTCCGAAAAGCGCCAGGGGCCCACCCCTTCCGAAGGCGAGAAAAATTGCTTCGTCGAGTTCCACAAACATAGACATACTATATATATATATAAGCAAAGGGAATACACTGGGATAATATTGCTTAATATGGAATGTTATTACACTTCCGGAGTATGCAGCATATGATTTTGTAGAATCATGAATACATAATCAGCAACATTTTTTTGGGAGAATACTGGCTTGCAAAGTACGGCATAGATATGGGAGGGAGAAACCCTAGGAAAATAATCTACAAATGGTGAACTTTCCATATCTATGTTGATTTGCTGGAGAGTATAAAGCTATAGTTTTCGGAGACGACCCCACATATTGAGACCCCCCTCAATTGACTAGAGCAGCTTGGTGAGATTATCTAACTTTGACTAAGCTAAGAGGTTTGCTGAGGGTGCCAAAAAGATGGCGTGCTCCTTTCCATCATGAACCTTGCACAGAAGTTCAGGTGAGTGCTTCATTTCCTGTGCAATCACCTGCGCCGGTCCAAATGCCGCCGGTGCCTAGCTTACTACTTGAACCAAGACTTGTTTTTCTCACTCCTGGGTGATGCTGAACGTGAAAAGTGGTCTCTGTTTGCGTGGGATACCGATTTGGTTTTCTATCGTTTTCGGTCGTTTTCTGGCGTTCCATGTTTTTCGGAAATTTTCATTAAAACCTCCATTTCCAAGGCATTCCCCAGCCATGTTTAACGGCCAGACCGTTTCTTATTCTCCACCACTTGATCCTCGAAATTGAGGCGACTGCTGCGCCAGCACCCCGGAGCCAGGGATTCCCTGGTGCCTGTGGCTTTCCGGTGCCCAGGCTGAACATGAGTGTCAATAGATTGATTTTTTCAGGGGAATCTACAGGAAATACCTTGGAAATCGCCAGTTTACCTTGGAAAATCGCCAGTTTTAATAGGTAAAGCGGTAAACCTCTATAAATGGGCTATTTCCCATGGCTATGTTAAATAACCAGAGGGTATATGGAAATATCAGGAAATGGTTCCATGGTTTTTACCCCCAATGATAAAATCCTGCAGATCCTCCCACCAGTCCGGGGATATGGGTCACAGTCTGGCCGCCAAGCGACGGGGTTTCCAAAGCGACGGAAAGGCTTAGACTTTGGACTCGTCAAAAAGTGTCAAAACGTCGGCATGGTTCTCTCGCACTTTCTTGCTACTCAGCATCAAAATTAGATAAAACTTGTCCTAGAGCCTCAGGCCTAGGGCATTTGCTCAGGTTCCATTTTTTGAGAAGTACAATATGATCAAAACCTACCCGCTGGCAGCTCAACATGGCTATGGACAGTCGCCATTTCATAGGTCAATATTTTTTCTAAATGGGCCATGTTACATGATGTTCCAAAGCAGACTCTCAAATTACATCGAATTACTATAGGGTTAAGCCCCATTATTCCCATATGTTATTTCCATGTTATTACCTTGTTGTTACCATGGGAAATTACATCATATATAAATGGGCCATATTCCCATATGTTATTTCCATATTGGCAAAAACATCACACTGATGGAGTTAAGCCCCATGATTTCAGCGAGCCGGGCCGGCTGTACCTATCGATCTCCAAGATTCTTGGATCGGCGCATGGAATCCCCAGTTGGTTCAATCTCATTAAATACAGGATGGTGCCCCCCAAGTATAAGTTGGTTTATAAACCCCATTAACTATAGTTATATCTACCATAAACCAAAGTTAAGCCACTTATATCTCAACTTAGCTATCTTGGGGGCCCCATCTTGTAATGTCAACCCCGAATTAATAAACCATGGTTGATTAATTAGGGGGGTACTCCTCCAATAGTCATGATATGTCATGATTTGATACTTAAATGACCTAAATGGCACCCTCCCAATTAAACAGCCTATGGGTTTATTAATCCGGGGTTGACATTACCATTAAACGCCATCAAATCAAATCCCATTAAATCCCATATAATATAGTTCTGTTGAATATTGTTGAATAATCACATTGTACTAATCCAGTGGTTGCTTCCTTTCTCGGAAATTGAGGCCAACTCCTCCGCACCTGCTGCGCCTGCTGCGGCGTCCCAAAGCCACGGATTTCCCAGTGCGAGCTATGGCTTTCCAGTGCCCTGGCTGAATGGTCAATGGATTGAAGGACCTCCAGCATGGGACATGGAGACTGGGATAAACCCTTTGGTTATCTTCTGTTATCTTCATCGGTTACATACTGGTAATCTCAACTGACCGTCATCGCTGGGGCTTTTGGCCCCTCAACAGAGACCACCATCAATGTCCCAGTTACTGGGTGAACCCTGCTTGGGTACTTTGAACTCATTGAACATGTTAGATCTCTCCCACAAAATGCCATAACTGAGAACATTACATTTCGCCGGAAAAAAAGAAAGGCTGGGTATCGAAGACTGGCCATCGAAAAGCCATGGGAGAGGCACAGCCGGCACTGATCCTTGCCAAAAACTAAGGGATCTGGGCCTTCAGAGGTCTCTTTTGCTCCTGACCGGAACTTTGCCACGTGGCGTTTGAAATGGTGCCGGTGCAGGGGCAGGTATTACCAGGTTTCAAGGTTACACTTGGCTTCCAGAAGTGGGGGACTTACCCTCAGCATACGGCCATGAATTTTATGAAATGATGGGCATAATTTCGGCGTAATTGATGACACATCTTGTCTCAAGCATGGGATTTATTTGAATTTGTGGCGTGCCTTATTCTCAGATAGACCCACATGCGAAGCACACAAGTGCAAACGTACTTGGATGATCTTGGATGTACTTGGATGACACATGATGACACTCGAAGCTGGCAGAGGATGAAGGGTTGATGTTGTATCAACCAAGTTGGTTGAAGACCCTCGACTAGTGAATTTGCATCAAGTAGTTCTCTTCTGTGATCTTCATCGTTACATACTGGTAGTCCCAACTGACCATCATAGCAGCATTGCTAGAGATTTTGACCTCTCCGCACAGACCACCATCAATGTCCCAGTTGCTGGCTGAATCCTGGTTGGGTAGTTTCAACACATCTAAGATGTGTGATCTCTCCATGCCTCTCCCACAAAATGCCATAACTGGGAACATTACATTTCGCCGGAAAAAAAGAAAGGCTGGGTATCTAAGACTGGCCATCGAAAAGCCATGGGAGAGGCACAGCCGGCACTGATCCTTGCCAAAAACTGAGGGATCTGGGCCTTCAGAGGTCTCTTTTGCTCCTGACCGGAACTTTGCCACGTGGCGTTTGAAATGGTGCCGGTGCAGGGGCAGGTATTACCAGGTTTCAAGGTTACACTTGGCTTCCAGAAGTGGGGGACTTACCCTCAGCATACGGCCATGAATTTTATGAAATGATGGGCATAATTTCGGCATAACTGATGACACATCTTGTCTCAAGCATGGGATTTATTTGAATTTGTGGCGTGCCTTATTCTCAGATAGACCCACGTGCGAAGCACACAAGTGCAAACGTACTTGGATGATCTTGGATGTACTTGGATGACACATGATGACACTCGAAGCTGGCAGAGGATGAAGGGTTGACGTTTGTATCAACCAAGTTGGTTGAAGACCCTCGACTAGTGAATTTGCATCAAGTAGTTCTCTTCTGTGATCTTCATCGCTACATACTGGTAGTCCCAACTGACCATCATAGCAGCATAGCTAGAGATTTTGACCTCTCCGCACAGACCACCATCAATGTCCCAGTTGCTGGCTGAATCCTGGTTGGGTAGTTTCAACACATCTAAGATGTGTGATCTCTCCATGCCTCTCCCACAAAATGCCATAACTGGGAACATTACATTTCGCCGGAAAAAAAGAAAGGCTGGGTATCTAAGACTGGCCATCGAAAAGCCATGGGAGAGGCACAGCCGGCACTGATCCTTGCCAAAAACTGAGGGATCTGGGCCTTCAGAGGTCTCTTTTGCTCCTGACCGGAACTTTGCCACGTGGCGTTTGAAATGGTGCCGGTGCAGGGGCAGGTATTACCAGGTTTCAAGGTTACACTTGGCTTCCAGAAGTGGGGGACTTACCCTCAGCATACGGCCATGAATTTGATGAAATGATGGGCATAATTTCGGCGTAATTGATGACACATCTTGTCTCAAGCATGGGATTTATTTGAATGTGTGGCGTGCCTTATTAACAGATAGACCCACATGCGAAGTGCACAAGTGCAAACGTACTTGGATGATCTTGGATGTACTTGGATGACACATGATGACACTCGAAGCTGGCAGAGGATGAAGGGTTGATGTTTGTATATCCCCAATACAAGTTGCACTATGTTGTTTTTTTCCACCAAAGAAATCTAAGTGGCAACTGGATCATCCTATTGTACCCACAGGACCCATCCAGTGGCTTAAAAGCTCATTCCAAAAGGCAGGCACATAGGTACATCCACCTAATCATCTTGTAATATCTTGCATTATATACAATATATATGATATTGGATGATTAGGTATGTATATTCTATGATTATGTATGTGTTTTTTTTTGATATGCAAAATTATGCACGTATACATTTATTAATCATATATATTATATATTAATATAGTATAATATAGTCAAATCCTGTAGATGGAGTATGTACCACATATACTTCCTCCAGATTTCCTCCAGCTTCCGAGGCTGCGCAGCCGGCCACGCAGCCGGCCACGCAGCCACCACCAGCGATGCCGGCGCCGGCGCCAGCGATGCCGGCGCCGCTGCCGGCCATCGGGGTGGAGTCGCCCGAGCAGTTGACGCAGACAGGCCGCCGACAGGTGGAGTTGATGGATATTGATTTCATTAAAAGAACATTGTGATGAACAATGAAAGTTAATATTGATGAAATCAATATCCATCAACTCTATACCATCTATATCCATCTATTAATCTTACGGTGTTACCGTATAATCAATATTGTGTTTCTATTCATTCTAGATGGTATTGGTTTCATGAAAGTTATTTTTTTTATCAATATTGTGTTGGAAATGAATGGCAATCAACTATAATAGAATCGACCATCGTGGGATAATTGATGGATCTTGATTGATAATCCCATCCTTCGTTCATGTTCAACACACCCCCAGAAACCATGGTAAAAAGCAGGGGAACCACATGAAGCTGGGTAAAAAAGGGTTTGAGGGACGTTATTTTGCTGGATAAAACATGGTACAATCATGGGATTTCAACATATTTTTCCCGGATATAGCTTGGGATGTGCACCCACTAGTATTGTTTTTTTTTTTGGTGCAAGAAAACATTGCAGTATAGACCTCAGGCAGTATTCAACCATTTTCTGAGATAATTTATGGCCATTTTTGTGGAGAAAGATGAGGTTCCACAAACCATGAAATTAAAAAAAACACCCAAATCCAAAAAATGCCACAGTCCGTGTGTTTAGATCAATGTGGTAAACATGTGATTAACATGTACACCCAATAATCGACCTCGAATTTTGAAGGGTTTATACCACCCAACTTGCTAAAATTGGGGTTGGTTTAAACATTTATTGGCATTGGATTCGAACATATTTGGCATGTTCCAACGCCCAGGTGTTTGGTTCATGGTTCAACCTCCATGCAGCGAAGCTACTCAAACCCGAGGTGATTTCTGGGTGCCTAGAAGAATTGGGAGCAGGATGCTGGGGAAGTGTGCCTGTGGATGCCCCTGGTATTTTTTTACCTCCAGTGTTTTCATGTTTGAGAAAACCTTGATTGGGTAAATGTATATGGTTTTGTTTACCCATAAATGAGTAGATCTAGCATTATCTTGCAATTTGTGTTTTTTTTTTTGCAGAGTATCACATGTATAAGAATAAGGCATCATATGCCAGAACCACTTGGATTGTTTACGTGTTGATTTTTGATGATATTTGTGTTCTTTCTCCATGTGATCAACCCCAAAAGTCATGGCTTGCCATCTTTGGGATGAACCTTTGGGACAAGGGACCGGGTCGTGTCATGTTTCCCAACTCTCAACTCCCTTTTTTTGTCTAGGTATGTCCAGGTCGAAATCCTTATTTTTGGGTGATTTACCCACAAAAAATGCTCACAAAATGGTGTCCCCCGGTTCTATGTTGGTGATTGTTCATGTTATTTATAATTCACAACCCCAGTTGACTATACGCTTAAATCTAGCATAAACCATGGTGCACCAAGGTTACAAGATTACCTACGGCACTTTCGCCGGCCCCGGGGCCGCACCAGGTCCAAGGCCTTGATCATCCTTGCCACCCGAGGCGTATGCCCACCTCAACAGCAAACAAAACTTCAAGCAGAGAATGACGGACCGAGCGGTACCTGGACGGCAGCAATTGGTGCTGCGAATGGTCACTAAATAGCCATGCAAAAAAAAGGGTCCCCCTGAGCTGAACAAACAAATGTGTATCCAGCTAGAATGTCCACTGCAAATCCCAATTTGCCTAGTTATAAAATGTTATAAACCAACTTCCATCCAAGGGGCTCCTCTTCTGACATGGTCCCACACGTTTTGCAGACAAGTGCCTTTTGAGGGTCACCAAGCTACAGGAATGCTCAGTACTGTGGTTGTCCTGGAGTTGTCCATGTGATGCGAATGTGTGAAGACCATTCAAAGACCATGGACAAACCATTAATAGCAATTGAGATATTTGGAATGGTCTTTTAATGGTCTTTTAATGGTCTTTTAATGGTCTTCACACCATATCAGATCTTTGGAATGCAAATTGAGTGATTGTAAAACGCTCGGAAATGCTTGGGATGATGTGATTCTGAAGTCGCCTTCTGATGAATCCGATTCTGTAGGTGATTTCTGACCTCCAAGCCAAGCCCAAGGTCACCTTGATTCGAATCCTCGCGCCGCACGGGGGGTATCCGCAGTGCACCCTGTGTGACCGGCATCGGGGTCACCCGAATGATACCATGGTGGGATGGGATGCCGACGTCAATGGGACCTGAGCAAATCGGAGTTGAACATATAACCACCAAAAAATCAGGATTTCATCAGCAATTTATCATTATTTATCGGACTAAACCAGGCGTATGCGAATGGCAAACTTAGGGAAATCAACCATCAAATCTATCCAAATGCTGGATTTGTTTGAAACCATCCATTCTCGGACGTATAAATCTCGTTCCTGAGTGGTTTCCTGCCAAACTTTTGAGGCTACGATGAGCATTTGGGGGCTCAGAAGCACTGGAAAGCCTTGCACCCCGCACACATCCGCGAGGGCGTGTGCGTTGAAGACGTGAAAGATCGCCTTTGGAACGTGAACATGATCCGTGGAGGATATGTTTCTCGGACATGTTTTAAGGTGGACAGTCGGGTCGTGATTGCCATAAATGCGTCCATATAGTTTCTGGTAACCTAAGCTGGTCAAGATCCGCATGTTTTCCCGAAATATCACTCAAAAATGGAGGAGTTTCCGACAGGTTTTATACTCAATATATATATATATATATACATGTATCAATATCTATCTATATATCTCGTGTATATATATATATAGTTATATATCCATAAGCATGTATGTATATATATATATATATATACACATATATATATATATATACATATACATATATACATATATATATATATGTATGTATGTATATGTAATTATATGTATATGAATGTTATATATATATATATACATATATTATATACATATATATATATATATTGATCTTCAAACTGACTTCATGAAGAGATACAGTTTCTGTGGAGTGAACCTATCAGAGAGCTTGCAATGGCACCACTGTATGCTGAGGACCTGCTGAAGGGGTGTGTTTTGACTTGAAATTTCAGCTCTTCTAAGGATATATAATGATATATATATATATACATATTGTATATGAAAGCTGTTTATTTATAATATACTGTGTATATCTGTGTATATATAATATGATATACACATGCATACATATAAACAAATTCTCTTTCGCATAGTTCTTACCCTTTTCCTATTTGGTCTGGTGAAATCCGAACTAATGAATCATGTCCATCCCTGGATGTTTGAACGTTCTGACCTGATTGAAATCGATCTATCAAGAGGGATCACTGACGAATCAATCTACTACATGTATACTTGATAGTTATCCAGTTGTCCCTCAAAGTCATAAGGTTGATAGCCTATAACTTACTACATATATATATATATATATATGTAAATTATGACTCACCACCTGGTGAAAATTCGAGGTGCGGCTGAATGAGCTAACGGGAGAGATCCAGATGTCCAAGGGCGAGCCTGGTGCATTTGGTGCCCAAATGGGACAACCTGATGGATACTTGGACAATACTTGACTGTATTGCCTATGGCTGGGTCAAACCGTCTACAATATTTTACTACAGTGATTTGATCTTCTTAGTTTCTGACCATAGAAATCGGATACCCTCTGGTAATGACTAACAGTTTGCTATTGAAAATGGCCATAGAAATAGTGAGTATTCCCATGAAAAATGGTGGATCTTTCCATAGTTATGTGACAGTTTACCAGAGGGTAATGATCCCCAACGACCAATATGTTGATGCTTGAAACCGCCACTCAATTTCTGCAGCCTGGATCCGTCGATCCCGAAAAGATTCAAGACCGTCGAAGAGCTTCCACTGTGGAATCACTCCATTTATGGTGTATCTCTGTGTGTGCGTGCATATATACTATGAATATCTATGAATATTATATAATTATATATATATAATATATAAACATATATCAACATATTAGATGATTTCTAGCTTCCTGATTCGACGGACCGTGCTGGTTATGACCAACAGGGAATTATTTTAAGTGAAGTTTCCTTGTTTTAGGGAGTCATGGGGATTTCCCCTCGCAAAGGTCACCCTCCAATCATAGATTTCTAACATGCTATATGTTTGCTGATTGTTAGTACCCATAGGATCCATGTATGGTATATATGCATTATATATGCTAACATTTGAGGTATATTGATGGTAAATGGTACCATACATAGCATACATGGATCCTATGGGGTAAGCTATACCATTTTTGGAGGCTTCACCGCGTTCACACCTCTGAGGGGATTGGTAAAATCATTTAAATCCCCATAACCTTTTGGAACTTTCCCGCATTGCACAGCTTGTGGTGATATGTCAGCAAACTTGTTGCAGAAAAAAACATGTCAGACACCTACTGCATGCATTTTGCCACAAGACCGACCGACATCGACATCACATTTATACGTAAATTCACACGTTCAATGCTCCCTCCGTTGTGATGTCTCCCAAATGTGTTTGTTGTGTTCTACACCCCATTAACTAGTTGGCGGTTTTCTACTACAAACCACTGAAATGTAAGTTTTTTTGAACCAAGTTAGCTAACTAATTCCTATTAAATCCCGTTAAATCCCATTAAAATCCAGTAAACCCCATTAAACCCCATCAAATCCCATTAACTATATGCTGGAAAAGCATCAGGTCGTGGCCCCAGTGCACCTCCCACAACGGTGCCCCCGCCCGTGAATTCTGCGGCGAACCTCTGGAGTAGCTACAGACCCACCTCGTCCCCGGCACCTGCAGCGCCTGCAGCACCTGCAGCACCTGCAGCACCTGCAGCGCCTGCAGCACCTGCAGCGCCTGCAGCACCTGCAGCACCTGCAGCACCTGCAGCACCTGCAGCACCCGCAGCACCTGCAGCACCTGCAGCGGCAGCTGCATCCTCTTCCGTGGATGGGAACAACATGACGCTGGTTGTGATGGCACCTTTTTTTTTTCTGAAACGGAAACGGTTCGACAGGTTCGAATCCTTGGTTTGGCTTTTGGGCATCCAACAGGGCCATTTTTTCTGGGCATCCCAACCAGGAAGTATATCGCTCATCGACTCTTGCAATCCAAGTCACAGGCGCTGCAGGACATGCTGATAGAGCACCGAGTCAAGGGTGAAGAGTCCCTTCGCAGAAATAGGGGTCTCTTTGGGCCGAGGTTTGCTCCAACTTCAAAACCAACACTGGTTTTGGAACACAAGATACATTGTATACATGAACAAAGAATGGTGGTTTGAAACACTGACTTATTGTGTTTCCGTTTTTTCCCTGCAATGATGAACCCCCATGACTCACTCACATTAATTTTTCATTTTGTCATGAAGGGTCAAAGCTCCGTTGGACCCGTTGAAACCGTCCAAGGTACAGGTGCTGTGTATGCCATGTCGCCGTGCGGGTCAGCGAGACCGCGGCACACTTTGCCGGCGAAGCGCATCTGATGGCGCTGGAGAGGTTTCCGTGGGCCGAGCAGATCTTTGAAGCGCAGAAGTCGCCGCTGAAGCTGCGACATGTGGACCTGACCCTGGAAGTTCTCAAGGAGACTTGACATGTGGTGATCTACAGCAAGCTGTAATTACTGGTTGGTGGTTTGGAACATGTTTTATTTTTCCATATATTGGGAAGAATAACCCCAACTGACTATATAATATTTTTCAGAGGGGTAGGTATACCACCAACCAGATGATAATTTTTCACAACCAGATGATAATTGAACCATCAATGAATTAGCTGGTTGTTCAATTATCATCAATGAACCAATGATTGTTTAATTATAATTGAACCATTCAAACCAGTTATAATTGAACCAGATTATAATGGGGATTTATGGTTTCAATGAACCAATGATTGGTTATTTTTTTCCCATTGGATGAAATGGAGATTCTCCATGGGATTTCGCTGCGATTTTTGTCCATGGTGATTTGACCCCGATTTGGGAAGACTGGGAAGACGACTTTTTTGGGACCAGCACCGGGGACTTAGCCAAGCATTGGTTGATGCGTGTTGATTGGGTATCTTTCATTAATGGATATGATATCATTTCAAGATATATATTTATCTAGTGATATCGTTTCAAGATATATAATTATCTAGTTGGTGATTGCAAATAGTTTTATTTTCCATAATATATGGGATAATACTTCCCATTGACTAATTTGTTCAGAGGGGTTAAAACCACCAACCGTTATGATAAGTTGAGGATTTTGGAATCAAGTTTGGTGATCAGTCGATGATTTTTGGAATTACATTTAGAATCTATTTGAATCTATACTGCATGTAATTTTCCCAGGTGAATCGTGGGTGAAAATCAAATGCGTTTTTCTGAGATGGTTTTTACGCATGTTGTGTTCTGTATGTATACATATCATATATGTATATACACATACGTACATTTACTTATGTACCAGCCAGTGTCCGGTAGATTCAAATACATTGCCACCAAATTGCCAACTTTGGATGCAAACAGTGCATTTTTTTCCTACAGGCATATATTAACGCTCCTATGTTACCATTGAGTGTTGAAGGTTGAAGTTGACGTCAACGCTATTTTGGTGTGAGAACAATGTGAATGCCGTACCTGCCGAGGAGGGAAGCACTGGAGGTCAAAGTGAATGCATTTGAGCCCAGTGGAAACATGACGGCCTCTTTAAAAGATACGTGTTCGCTGGGTGCAGATCCATCCAAATTTCATGGCTGGATTCGCATACTGCCTTGAAGAAACACCTGGGCATGGCTCAAAACGTAGCACCAAAAGATAGCCTTCTGCCATTTCAGAGGACTCATAGTTGGCGAATTTGGCTTGTAACTCCATTAAATTACATCTTTGTTCATGGAGGTTATAAATCAACATAAATCAACTTGTAATTGGAGGCATCCAAGTTTGACGGTCAATATTTCTTGAGCCACATCCAGATCTTTACTTGCAAAGGACAAGGCTCCTTGCATAGTCTGAATGGTTGCTTCAGTTCAGCCGATTTCAAAGGTTCAAAGATGGACCGTCGTTTAGTGCAGGCAATTCAATTTTAGCTTTACGCATTCGCTTGAAAATAGTGGGCAACGTCCAACCAGAGTTGTTCCTGCACATGCCTACACCATGTATAGGCTTTGCGTAGACTCTTGTTTACAACAGTTCGAAGTGATTCATTTAGCAAACATCACGCCATATGAAAGCAAACATAGCCTCGTAGGCAAAGCCAACACCGTGTAGAGTCGAGTAGGCACCCCTTAAGGAACTCACACTGCTACCGGTCACCGACAGAGAAGGATAAAAACACTACTCGGAAAAGTGAAATATTGGAATCCCATTAAATTCCTTCAATCCATACTAATCCTATTCCAAATAATTCCCATTATTAATATTAATCCATATTAATATTAAATCAGAATCATATTAATTCATATAATTCCCATTTAGGGGCACCTGAGTGTTTTGGACAAAGCCATCTACCGCCTCTGCCAGGGGAATGCCTGGCCCAATTATTGAGGTGCTTAAATCGGGGCGGGACATGGATGTGTAGGAAAAAAATGATCAGAACAGATGAATCAATGGATTGATTTAAGGGAACATCTTAACCGGAAACCATCGTATTTGTTCCTATTAAATATAGGCTTTTCCTGTATTTGTTCCCTTAAAAAGCCTTAAACCAATCCATTGAATGAACGTTTTCATATGGGGGTTCCTAAGTCATGGCCCTGGCATCATGGGAGTTTCCATGGATGATCCTGATGGGAACGAACCAAAAAAAACCTTGGCCCCGTCCCCATGTTTGGTTTCTGCGACGTGAATCAATACATCCATCATCATCCATCACTATCCTCTGGTAATTTGTTACATAACTAAATCACCATAGAAATAGTGAATTTTCCCATGAAAAATGGTGATTTTCCATAGTTATGTGACAGTTTACCAGAGGGTACATCCCCATGATTTCCCAGCAGTCTCCACCGAATCAGATATATTTGTTGTTTTCCCGAATCGCATGTGGAGCTTTCAGCGTGTCAGGAGCTTCCTGATGACTACGACGTCGCAGCAGAGAAGGCTTTGAATAATTTGCCAAACGATCGTGTTGATCTTTGGAAAATCATGGATAAACGTGTGGTTCCGGGGTTCTCCATTGGCAAGTTAGACTACCAGACATTATGTGGAAATTGTATAGAGATTGTACCTGTAGAAAACAATCAAATGTGGATGTCCAAGCATGTTGGCCCGAAATTTGAAAGTGCACTGGATCGATCGTTGAAGTTCATTCCCTCCTCCATATCACAATTCCATTGTAGGACATTCAAAGTTAGCCCTGTATCCTTTGATGCAAGACCATGCCTGATATGATGACCAAACACAAAGAGGTCACTTCAACGAATTGCCCCGATGCACGATGTCTATATATATATATTTAAGACTTCATGGTCACTTGAACAAATGCATGTGTGCTTGTGCAGACTGCACCATTATCAGCAAACTTTATATACTACATTTTTCTACCCAAAGTAGACGAGTTGTTGCTTTGCATGTCTTACATTGATCTATCCGGTATATGAATGTATATTATATAATAGTTTTGATGTTGTGATTGACTTATTTGTTCTTTGCAGAGTATGTATGAGTTTGTCAAAGGGTATCCCTCAATCCAGGGCTTTTTTTTTCCTCATGGAAGACACCATTTAGAGCTATAAATCTCCTATTCTCAGACACATAGCTATCATAGCTATCATATTGTGGGTGACATACTCCTATGATCTTCCCATTATCCCTCTACACTTGTGCTGGATAAATATGGCTATGGATCAATACCTATTAATACAATTTTTAGGGGAATGAACATCCATTTACCAGCTATTTTGATGTGAACTACAGGGGTACAGGGTTTTGACCCACTGCCATATAAATCACTTTGGTTGGCGAAGTCTCCATTTTTTCTTGGGTCAAGCACCAGGGTCACCTGGTTTTTCGCATCTCCCCAGTCCTCCTCGCTGCGTCGGGGCTTCTTCTCCAAGAGGACGCGTTGGGGGTACCCCAATAGCTGGATGGTTTATAGTGGAAAATCTCTTTTAAAAATGAAAGACATGGATATGAAATATGTTGGATATCCATGATATGCATATTATGGAACAATCATATGATGGATATCCTTATGGACATCATATTTCCTTATAATATCTCATATCATCTCATATCCATATGATAAGCGAACATCGGATTTGGGCTTTGGAAAGTCATGGTTTCGTATCCCCGAGTTCTCCTCCAAATCATAGATGACCCTTGTAGTATCGGTTCACCGATGGTGACGACTGGGGATCCCCCAGCCATGAGAAGAAACTCCAGCCATGATGGTGACTTTAGCAAGGAAAATTGCGATTTCACCAACACATATGGTGATTTAGCGTATTGTTGTCATGGTGAAATAGGGTGATTTATCATGCCTAGATCATACCCTAGATCATACATATGGTGATTTATCATGCATGATCTAGGGTTGCTCCGACTCAGTATAGATAGCCACAACGGACGGAAACAGCCCCTGATTTTACCGTATTTTACCCATGTTCCCTCTTGTATTTGGGGTGTTGGGAGCTGCTATATGATGATAACCAGCAACAATGGCGATTCACATATTAACCACTACAGTAACCACATATAACCCCCCAAAAATAGGCATATGATGGCAATATCAATGGGATATATCAGCAGCAATATTTTTGTGTGTTTGAAAATGGGTTTTGTGCCCCAACATTGCTGTTCTGAATCCGGAAAATTGAGAACATGTGATTAAAAGCAATTAAGCAATGGATTTTCGAGTACTCTGAGGAATTTTCAGTCAAACCCATAGTTCAATGGGGAATTCAGCAACAGCAACGGTGAATCAAACCAGACATACCGTGGAAAGCGGGATACAGAACCGACGGCAATGCAGCCGAATGGTCTGCCCCAAAAGAGTTCCAAGCACTTAGATGTCAAGACCATGTCTCCATAGTTCAAAGCAGAGCCACTTGTGCAATTGAAAGGTGACAATAACAAACCTTAGACCTGCCTTTCTTCCACGAGCAAGAATTGAATACATACAGTCAATCCAAGATCTCAGTTTTTTGGGGTTGGATTTTGCATCAGTTGAGACCAATGCAACAGGTCCTCGTTCATTTACTCTTTCGCTGTCTTGCGCTCTTGCCAGGGAGACTCCCAAAAAGGTGGAGAAGGTTCCTGCCACGGCGGATGTGGATGCACTTTCCACAGTAGTGTCAGCATGTGTCAGCATCCCATGCGAGGACTTGGTTTGGTTCTTCTTTCTCTGTGGTTTCTGTGCGATTTTGGTGTGTCACGCCTTGCGACTGGGATTCCGTGAAGGCTCCAGAGGTTGCAGAGTCTGCTTCACCAGGTGCATTTCAAGGATGGAAGGATGCGTCAATTTGGGGAGATGGTCATCAGGGCATAGTATATCCATATCCCGCAGTGCCCCAGGATAAGGAAGCCCTAATTATGGTGAGATGACCAATGATGACCATAAACCCATACACCTGATGCAGTTCATGACTGTAAGAATCAATGAGACGTGGTCTGGAACTCTGTCAATCCAGAATGATTCCAACAAAACTCCTGAGCAAATACCGCCCTCAGGACGACTGCGGTTGGGCATGTATGAGATAATTCTCATGGGTTTCTATTGGATATGGGTTTAGCTAGATGATCATGTGTGATCCCAAGAACTGCGTCGTTGTAAGTCATTGTCCATCGTGGGCACCAGAAAACTGGGGCTTGAACTGAGCCTCACCCAAAGTACTCCGATCCCTTGAATCAAACACTAAGGATTGTGCCAGCACAAATGTGGATATACATCCACAAATCGCAGATGGTTGATGACTGATCTTATTCAAACAGATCGGACAGCATGAACAGATCGTTCCACAAGGGAACATCCCCACATCTTGGCATGATTTGCCTATGGAAAAAGAGAACTGTCCATGGCCAGTTGGGATTTGCTGAGGGGAGAATGGTGCTGTCACCGGGCAGGTGGCCAGTCACCCCAATTCCCCGGGCAGGTGCTGAGCCAAGCACTGAGCGGAGTGCTGAGGTAGACGACATGCCAGAGGCCTCCGGCAGCCACGGGGATTTAGTTGGGAAGTTACCCACAAAAGAATGTATTTTATGGAAATTTCGGAACGGAGAATTTGGCAAACATGGAGATATAACCCACATCATGGGAGATCATGGAACAAGCCTCGAACCCATTGACTTGACCCCCCAGTATATCCATCATGGTCCACACGAATGGGCCATAAATTGCTGGTGAGTCCGAAACGTTTATTGACCCCAAAATCATGGATAGTGGCTGACCTCTGGTGATATGTCCATCTCCATGTTGCCAACTTGACCCGCCGTAGGCACCTTCGCAATCCAGCGGACCGTCAATGGGGCAGCAGCACTGAAGCTTAGGGCACTCTACTTGAGACTTGTTTCAGGTATGGCAAAAGTAGCCACATTGAGAATCTTGGAGATGTTAAGCATTTTATTTTTTACTGAACATACTATGAATCTGCATGGCGAACATTCCGGATTTCGGAACGTTGAGGATATCTTGAGGCATCACATGGCATCACATTCAGATGCATGTTGTGAGATGCGATGAGAAACACCGTGTGCTGTACAATGAGAGTGTATGTAGGACAAGCAGCCATGTAGGGGCCATGTTGAAGTAACGTGTTGAATTGTTTAAATGTTGTTTCTTTGGCTTGCCTTGGGTAGGTAGCAGACTTTGAA